GATGCACTTTTCAACAGTGAATGTCGTTGCTCTTTCTTAGGACAAACTGCATGTACATTGATAATTTAGTACTGTGGTGGTTGATCAGTCCATTCACCCTTCCCTGAAATCCCACATGTCCAGCGAATATTAAATGCGACTTTTTCTCTGGACACGTATGTATTTGTCCATTCATTTTTTTTTGCAAATACCACCATTTCTGGTTTTTGCAGGTGGTTAGTCATTTCATTACGTATGGTGTTCCTTCCCGTTGTTCTTATCACAGTCCGATTTATGTTTCATTATACTATTTACCGTTCTATTTTTTTTATATTACTGGATTATTAGTTTTGTCATTCAAATTATGTAATTATAAACATATAATGATACGTGATGCCTGGTATTGGAAGAGGAAGCCTATGGACTACTGTCATCTACCTCAATTTGTTCCTTTGCTTACATGATTACATGCACACATTTACTGCAGGCACTGTGTTGTCCTGTTTTTAATTATTGAGTACAGTATGTGTGGTGTTACTCTTCTTGATGCCACTTTTATAACAATGGTACTAACAAGTTCAACAATACATCGAAAATTTTTCACGATACTCGTCGAAGTATATCCAGCAAGCGTGCTCCTTGATCTTTAGTATCTTCAGTATAAGCGTGCTTTTAACTTGTGCAAAACTCATAACTTTTCCGACATACACGTCTACGTATTTTCATATGTAGACACACGCTGCCATAGTCATCAAGGTGTGAACGGAGTTTGACAGGGCTTAGCCTGAGGTAGCTCATTGCATACAAAACTCGTTAACTTCTTGTTACTTTTCCCTACCCGTTTTTTGCCCCATCTCTTCTCCCTTTGTTGGCTCCCTTAAGAACACCCTTCCCTGAAATACCATATGTCCAGCGAATTTGAATGAGACTTTTTCTCTTTTGCGGCCTTGTTTGTTTTACATCACTTGAATCTGTTTGCATTTTTGTTAGACCTTGCCATTGTTTATGTGATGCTTGTTAAGATCGTAAATTACATTAGATGGCAAACACAATTGCAGACTTGTGAACAAGGCCGAGGTTTGCCTCTCTTTTCCCACCATTCAACTGCCGTCGCGTCTAGCGCCCAATTCATTGTTTATATGCAACCCATCTAACCAGTGGCGTATTTGTCGACACTCCCCTGACAGAAAGGGGAAATTAAAGCATTAAGTTCCACTGACGGCGACATGCGGCGTAAACAACACGTGGTTGTGTGACTTTGGCCCCCCGTGAGGCCCAAGCTTCAAAGTTTCGTTACTGGACGCCTGCCCATTCGTTCTCACCGGACATACATCTCCCTTGCTGTTTTGCTCTAAGTTCTACATCAAGCGTTCTCCAGCTTATCCACGGTGTCACGCCGTGGTAAGTAACAGTATAATCATGGTTTTTTGGCAAATTAAAAAAGAAAATCGTTACATCTAAACTCTATACGTCACCGTCTAATGTCTGCACGGTTTGTCTCGTTTGATATGTTATCTGACCATGGCGTTGGTGTACATACAATCTTGATTAGAATAAGTGCCTTTCAGAAAAATACCTGTAAGACATGTGGATTGAAACGAGTGTGTCATGCATTAATTGTCGAAAATACTTCCTGTCTTTTGTTTACAGGAATGTTTGTGTAACAGTAATGTTTCATAGATAAAACTGTTGTTGCGCTATTTTGCCACTTTGGTTATTTGCCCTTATGATTTTTTTTGTAACAAAAACGGAGTCGTTAAAAAATGGTTTCGACCAAACAAGCAGAAGTTAGGCTGCATACCAATTCGGCGATCATTAATCTCTTGTTAAAACGTTGAACACTTGTACATGAACATCTATGGGTTTTTGAAAGGTGCAGTTTTGAGCATACATTAGAACTTGCACATTCTTCCCATTGCTTGATGAGAACGCCGAGGAAGAAAATGAGTATTCGGTGCTGTGTTTCATGTATAAGGTTAAACTCATTCCAAATTAATATTAATCTGATGATAGCATGTAAATTGATCTGAGTGGTACATAACATTTTTACCAGTGACCAATTTCCCAAAATGAGGACCAACGTCCTTGCATGTCAGTGTACAGATTGCAAATAAATAAATTAATAAAACTCCGAGGAAGTGTTTCAGCTAAAAAGAGTAACAGAGTTTTCACTTTCTCTGAGTTTAACAGGAAGACATGCTGTTCGTTGAGCCCCACAGAGTTTAACTTTTTTATGTTTGTTAAATACTTTCCGTAAAATTTTCCTTCCACAGTTTGGAATAAAAATTTGGCCAACTACTTACTGACCTCGTATCACAAAATTGAGAAGTGCGTAGACGTTCATTTTTTCAAAGGGGACTAGCTTGGAGCATGCTTGGAGGAAGAGGAACCTCCATGATTATGCAGAGTCGTACGATGTGGCTGAACCAAAAATATGTTTCAACTTGTAGGGAACCACATACTTCTTGTGAATAAGTTAGGTGTGTTCATGCATGACACATTTCATGATACATGGGCCTCTTTTCTAAAAACAGAATCTTTCGAAACGGCAGACAACAGAATCTGGAAGGTGAAACGAAACGATGACAACAAAATTACAAGCAGGAAAGAAGTCGCTTCGTTTACCATGAAGGTACAGAAAATAATCAACGCTGGACACAAGTCCCAGAGCGGTGGTTTACTGGTTGAAGTAAGCAGTGCTTTGATGAATACAACCAGGTAATTTTCGCAAACGTTAACTGATCTTGCGTGTGCTTTATCGTACTCACGTGAACAGTGGTTCACAAAAGAAATGCAATGTGACTCTGCTTCATGCTCTCTTATTTATTCTTCAATTTTCAAGTTTGTAAGCTCTGTTTTACAATTTCAGTCGGTTCCCGTATAAGTAAAATCATCACATGCGAAAGATGTTCTGTTGCACTACAGCTAATGCCATCTTCAAAACTTTAAAAATTGAATTAAGAAGACGTAGGTAGGAAATATTATTAAATTATGTTTTGTGCCAATTGTGATTAAATGTTTTAAGCTGCTACAGTGGCATTAACAATAGCAATCTCCAACTCCCAGCACCACCCGCCGGAAACTGTAGACGAACAATGGTGCTGGTCCAGAATAGTGCTCTGAAATATGTGATTGCCTTGAAGCTAGTGATTGTTGACTGGGTAGGGGCAGCTTCAATCAGACTTTCTTGAAGTTCGGGTTTGAACAGAGTTGACGACACACTTAACAAAACATGGAGCAAGGAACAAGCGAATATATCTTGTTGATATTCTTATCACGGTGCTACGCAGCCCTTCTATGTTCCCATGGTCTTGGTCGAGTTTTGTCAGTCAACTGCTTGTGCGTACACTTTTTGATTGAAAAATTTCATAATCTTTCAACTTTTCAGACCTATCTGAGTCAATTTTTTCAAGTTAAGTATGAAAAACAAATCAGGGATTACCCTTATTGAGTAACCTACTGGAGATCTGCCCCTCTCAACACGATAATTAACCCTGTGAATTTAGACGACACCTTCACAACTAAAACTGTGATTCATTAATCTGATGCCAAGGCCTAGGCCTATTATCTGACCATGAAGTGTCTTGGACCAAAGCTGAAGAGCTACAGCTTTAGTTCAAATTTCCCAAAAGATAACGAAATATTTCGCAGCTACCTGAAAAGCTGAATTTTTTTCCACCGGTCTGTGTTACACTGAAATTACAAAACCGGGCACTGCAAGAAAACGATTGTTTAACTGATTGGATGTGATAATCTCGCATGTATTTGGTCTGTAGAAAGAGCAGTTAGATGTTCAGCTCTGCATAAATCAATTTGTTTAGGTAGGAGTCGCCGTCATATACCCTAATGTTGACACTTGTAATTCATGTCATCGCATGTTGGGGAGAGGGGCAGCACTTTCATGCACACGAACAAGCCTTTTTTGATAACTGACGTGATATGAACTTTTAAAAACACGAGCCCAAGCATCGTCCGTCCGATCCTTGATTCATGTTTTATTCAGTGTGTCGTCAACCCGGTTTAATCCCAAACTTCAAGCGAGTCTAGCTTACGCTGTCCCTACCCAGTCAGCGATCACTAGCTTCAAGTCGTCCTATAATAATATTCAGAACACAATGATCGAGGATGACTTTGACTGTTAGGTGTGTAGTCCCGTTTTGGAGTTCGAAAGATTCACTGTTGTTCATTGTCGATAACACTTGCAAATAATTTGAAGTAAACACATTGAACCTTATTCAATAATTGTCATTGAAGATGGCAGATCTTCAGGCATAAATTTGCAGATAGTCGAGCAAGATTAACACTTGAGTGATTTCCTATAATCATTTACTCAAGGATCCTATATTAAACCTTATTCAATTGCCAATGAAGATAGCAGATCTTCAGGCATTTAAAGACAGTCAAGCAAGCTTCACACTTGAACGATTTCCTATAATCATTTATTCAAGGATCCTGTAAACAGCACGCAACCAAGTTCGGAACAACCAATGGTTTTCTCGACGATGCATTTGGTCCTGTTTTAATGGGGTAATTGGCAACCCTTGAGGTGGCATTTTTTGGGTAGTAGGGGTAAACGTTTTTAATAAACAGCGCAGCATGTGCTTTGTGTGAGCAGGTCAAATACGGTAATCAGCTTTATTAAACCCAATTGGCTGAAAGGGTTGTTGATTGTGCCCGAGGAATCTTAGACGCATTCCTGTCACTCATGGTATTTCATTAAGCCTATTTTCGTGTTATTAGGGCAGTATGTTGTATTTTCAAAACTACATTCTCTCTTCATTATTGTCGAGTGTCGTACAGACCTCTTTGTTCAAGTATGTTGGCATCGGTTTAGTACCAAACATTGAACGGGATGTCAGCGAGTGTGTTATTCGTGACATGAGATCATAATTTTTGCTTGCCGGCGCATTGCGCTGAATTTTTTTTTAAATAAAGCGCCACCATCTGTTCCAGATGTTTTAAATGTGTAGGTACGTGCACCAGCGTGTTCTGCGTACATATAGTGTACGTTCGAGTACCACTTGTGAACTGATAGCAGTGTACGCTGGGTACTGTACTGGTGTAGCTTAATAAAATCGACGTGCTGTTTTCTTGAGAATTTTTGCATTAATACCCTCGGAAAAGGGAACGGCCTCTCTTGGCGAGTCCATTGGAGCTAATTAACATTTAATTTTTTTTTAAAGCCCAAATTCCACGACTACTTATCATATCCTACCCCTGAACATGCTGAAAAGCCCGGTTTAGTCATTTTACAGCCAGGGCCTCCCATAGCCAGAAAAATGCAAAAACCCCAGGCGGCCTTGAGCCAGCCTCCAGGCAATTCCCATTGGACTGTGTACTAAGTGGTCCCTTGTGCACAACCTGATGGGTTGTTTACAAAACGGTGCCTGGGGCAGGCAGTGGAATGTTCTTTATCAGTGACAGCTGTCTGGAACTTGTCAGAGGCCTCTGTCGGCTGTCTTGGAAGTGTTATTTTTGTTGGGGGGTGTTGTGGTCGTATGCAGCAAGGTATAAGACGGAGAGAACCCCCCTGCTTTGTGTTGGTCGTTGTCTCGCAGGAATCGGGGGAATTCCTTTCAGACATCTTGGGGGGGGATGTGTTAAGTAACAATAGTCTGGAACGTGTATAGGGATTGGACATGTTGGGGGGTACCCCTCGGTCTCATTTCTTGCTGGGCACAGTGGTGGTGGTGGTGGTGGTATGGCTTGGTTGGCGCGTGGCGAGGCCCCCTCCCTTCAAATCCGGATAGCCTGGGAAAACGGCCCCCCACGCCACTATGATGTACTTTTGGTGGGTTTTGGTGGTTTGTTAATAAAAAGCATTAATATACCTTCAGGACGGACTCAGGGCTCTGCAAACCTGAAAAATGAAACGGACGCAACGGAATAGTCCGTCCACGGAACCGTGTGAGTTTAAATTGGGAACACGTCCCAGAGTTTTAAGTAAAATCTTGAGCGTTGCGAATAGTATCTTGTTTCGAAATGCTATAGTAAGAGCTTCCATCGTGAAAATTCAAGTGAATGTCCGAGTTTCATCATTTCCCATATAGCTGTAGGGCTAACATATTGAACAGTAAACCAAACCCATGTTGTTTTCTAAAGTCAGAAAGTAACCTCCAAGTTACTACTAGCCTACGACCTGACAACCTCCATTGTTGAACCAAAAGGTCCTCTGTTAGGGCTAGCATATTTGGATAACTTGGTTGTTTTTTTTCCCTCTGCCAACCACATAAAGGACTTGCTTCATTACACAGTCATCCATCCAGTCAAACCTGGATAAGTTCACAACTGAGTTATCCCAGTCATTTGGATTAGAAGGAGCAGGATGTGGTGGTCTTGTCCACAATTTTACCAGGAGAGAACTCAAGGATTTTTTTTTTTGCGTGAGGTGGAGAGGTTTTATAGGTGAGTATTTTTATTGTTTGAGGCTTGTAATATTTATAGCTTTTAATGATTTTTAAACTGAAAGAACGGAAATAGTCAATCAAAAACTGTGCATTGATTTGATACATTTTTGTCCGTTACTTCCAAAAGGAATGCTTTCAATCAGATGCAGACGTCTCAGCCATTATTGTCATTTAACAGCGACATAAGAAGTGGCTGTAGCACTACTGCAGTTTGTGTACTAAAATAGTCGCAGCCAACGATGATCCTCAAGTACTTCTTGTACATGGGACTGGAAGGTCTCTATGCATTATGTGTCACAACAGTTATTCGGTTAACTTTTCGTTTCCTGGCCGACTTGCCGATGATTTACTTGGTATATGGTGTTTACTGATGTTGATTAAAGGCCTACATGTCCTGTCTATGTGTCTGCTTTTTATGCTTAAGTAATAGTAACAATAGTTCCCCCCCCCAAAAAGACAAGAACATACATGTATTCGTTTCTGACAGATATAAAGAAGAAAACAAAACACTGTGATATGGATCTGTTATAAACTTTAGGAATTCAACCTTCAATACTCGAAGATGAACATGGTTCCCAGTTCATGTTTACATGACACAATTTTATTTGATTGAATATACAATACAGGAAGTGCAAAGAAGATGGCTCACCCACCACTTTAATGGCCGCTTCATGCATTGGCAAACAGCCCAAGAAGGATGTGTGGGTGCTGTCGCCCAGTCTGCAGCTCGATAGCAACGGTGTGGAAATTTCCACTGAAGATCAGACATTTTACTGGGTTGACAAGCTTCTACCTGTGTCTGCAACTAGTCAGCTTGAGGTCCCATCACATTTCAATGTCCTGCACCCTGTGGATGTACTGAGAGATGTCTTTCAGGCTCTGTCAGACACATTGCACGAAAATGCCATTGCAGGGATATTCACTGTTGGTTAGTATATCGGGTTTCTTCAAGTTCCGTAAACAACAACTGCATGTATTGGCTAAACTTCACTGTTTCCTACTACAGGTACATGTGCAGCATTTTTAATCAAACATTGGTTGGTTTCCCACCTGGTGAATTTGAACATGTAAGATTCCTGCATGCGGTTTTGGTCAATACAAAAGTGTTCATCGTGGCAGTTGCTTACAGCTACTCAGTTCACTGACAAATAATACCTATTTTAAAATTGAATGAATATTACTTGATATTTGTTTACGAGTTTGCTTGGAATTATGAACAGTTAGGAAACAGATAACTTAATGGCTTTTAATAATATGAGCTTGCAACATTGTGTCCTTTGATTGGCCTCAATAAACTAATTTTGTAAGATTCAAGGCATCATCTTTGATAGTGTTTGAGTAATGAAAAACGGTATTTTTTCCACTCAATGTGTTTTGTTTGTACATTACAGCCTCTGTGTGTCTATCACTGCACTATGAAACGGTGCTGGAGCTGTTTAAGTGTTGTCCTATTCCAATCATCATTGGTGACATCAACACAGGTTGGTAGTGTTTTCATAGCTTAAATCCATAGACACATCAACAACATCACTGATTCCCAATGAACGACTTTTTGGTGTTTTCAACCCATTATTTTCCCTCATCAGCAATGAAAAGTTTACTTTCTAAGAACAATTAAGTCAAATCGTATTGAACCTGCAAAACAACTGTTGAGGCTTTAACTTCAAAATCCATTACAAATTTTCGCAAAATTCCAGTGTGTGGTGTCCATAATAACGGAGAAAACCCTGTCGTTAAATAATATTTTGCTGATGAACCCAGACATTACAAAAAAGTCTGACATTAATGAAAGATCAAGACTACTGTGTGGATGTTGAAAGGCTCCTTGTGGGAATTGCACGAATCACCGCAAACATGGGCAGCATGGAAGGTGGTGGAACCATCATTGTGACTGCGTATCACTTTCACTTAAAAGTTGTTTACAGCTATGCAATAAATTGACAATAAGAAAGAATCTAAGATTTACATTCAGGCTTAAATCATTTCAAGCAAGCCCCTACTGGCTTGTCCCTCACTATCGACATTTGTCCTTTCTTTTTGGATGAACTTTTTGTTCAGATAGTTTTTCTCCCCTTAGGAACCTGGTTCATGGATGAATCCTTAATAGCGGCGCAACTTCATAGACCACAAATGCTTCAATAACAGTCGTCAATTAAACTTCATTGGTAAATCGTAAGCACTCTTACACGGAAGATGAAAGATTTTTGGGATATAGAGGTTTGTGAAGGACCGCATTCTCTTAAAAAGTAAAACGATTACCATGGCTCAGTGTTCTTATACATAAAACGTTGGTGATCATAACTGAAAAGTTTCAATCTGGTATGTGTTTTAACAGGCAAAACAACTTCCTGCCGCATGGCATCGCGAATGACCGGGGCCAAGAATAGTCTATTGGGATACACTAGAGAGCGCTTCCTCCCAAAAGCAACATCTGGCTCCTCCATACCTGTCATTCTGGATGATGCTGAGCCTAATGCCATCCGCGGTCTTATGACCAAGTATTTCAATGGTGGGGTTGATGCCACTTGCTCGTTCGAGTCGACACCAAAGTGCTGCCCCATCATTAGCGCAAACTGGTTTGCCCTGTCCAAATTGGCTGGAAGCGAGCGGTGAGTTCATTTTTTGTGCAAAAGAAAATTTGATGTTTTGAAGGATAAAACATTTATTACATCTGAAAGTTATGGGTCTGGCTAAGTATTGGAGCCATATCCTCTTTGGGTGATTCCTGTTCACCACCACTTGGTGTGTCACGTTTAATGGCTTCTGGCTAGTGCCCCCCCCAACAGAGATATTGACAATTGATCACAAAATGGGTATCCCTGAATAATGAGATGAAAGAAGGAAGAGGCAGTGTAACCAAGATCATTGGCATAATTTCAAAAGTTGAGATTACCCAAAGGAATTCAGGTGCTTCTGTATAAAAAAACAACACATTTTGGGTTGTATTTGAAAGTGGACAAAGTATGCTCTTTGTAGGATGTAGAAACTAAAATTGGATTCAAGCATTAAGACAATTTCTGAAAGATCCGAACCGCGATGATAACAACACTTAGAGTACACTTTTTACAATATAGAATTTATGGGTAAAACAGCGTGGATGGTCGTTGATTGTAGTCATTTGAATGTTATAAGCTGTAACTTGTAAACGAGTTTACCCTGACAACAGACTTTAGAACCGCTTCCTCGCTCACACTTCTTCGGTCTGCATGTATTGTTAACATTCTGTCAGAATTTGAACAAGGACAGATATTATGTGTGAGGGGCTGTGGATTGGAACTGAGAACCAGATACCTGAGTAACTGACATATGGGGTCACTAGCTGACAGGCAATTTGCACAGTGAACTCCATAATCTTATTTTGTGATTAAAGTTTATAGGTAAAAGGCACGAAGAATCTATTTATTTCAGGGTCGGATCTATCAAATTTGGTACATGGCAACTCATGATGTTTTCTTTTTTTCCAAAGGGCTTATAGATACCCATTATAACCGTTTTTGCAGACGCCTTACCATAACGTCAAATTCCAGTTTCACATAGAGCTTGCTGTGTTTTTTCTTCAAAACAGTGTGGTGTATCCTTTTGTTGATTTCCTTCAGCGAGATGACTCGGGCGGTCATCATTCCATTCTTAAAAACAGAAAGAAGGAGGAGTGAGGACCAGTTTCAAGCAGAGAGCAGGCGTCATGAACTTGAAGATGTAGCTGTTCACTGCCTGCCTCTTCTAGTGTCCATTGCTTCTGACCTGAAGAAGGAGAAAAGTCACATTCTGCAGAAGTGTAGGGTATTTGTTGCCAGGATCCTGTCGCATTTGAGTGATGCAGATGACAGGCTCCATCTCACTTATGGCATTCTTCTTTTTGTGGCACAGTTGGTAAGTAATAAAAATACCAGTTTAAATTTGCAGATAAATGTAGCTGTCTATTCCGGTTGCATTAAGCCTGGTTTAAAATGTCTATTTGATTCAAACTGTATCATAAAGCCATCTGTAGTCTTGATAACATTACATTTTCCATGACCTTAATTGAGCACTACTCGTTAACATTTAGGGTCCTATTTCAAAAGGGAAAACATTTGACTATACACATGTAAACATGTATTTTTAATTTGAGATCATGCTACTGTGTTGTGGAGCGGGCCATGCTTTTCTCGAATTATAAATATAAGAAATCTTTTGCACTGTATTTCATGTTTGACATAGCAGTTTCCGTCTTTTGATTTACCTGAATGTAATCAAAATTTTTCTTTCCTGTTGGTTTTTTCTGAAGCTTCTCCAAAAGGCCAACATTGAAAAACTTGGCCCAGAGCAGGCGGAAACATTTCTGCAAACTACAGTGATGAAGTATGGCATTGAGCAATTCCAGGTGGGAAACGCTATGTTGAACGGCCTCCCATCCCCCACTAAGACCATAGCAGATATGGCAAAGTTGATCATCGAGGCAGTTCAAGTTTGCCATATTGGTGAGGTAATGGACTTGCTATGTTTCTGTTAAATACATTATGGTCCGTTTGACCCTTGTTCAGCATGTTGGTTTAGAGGTGTATGGAAATAATTATGTTTCTGTCTTCCCATCTGTGTATTTTTCTTTTTCTTCATCACCGGTACAATTCACAATGCATTGCATGAATAAATTTGCAAAATGTGGTTAGCAAATGATATGTTTTTGTTTCCTGTCAATGTTTTTTTATTTGAAAGAAACAATTGAAGAACATTATGTTGTTAAGTGGAAAAAGAGCAGTTTGCAGGAGTTGGTAAGAAGCAGTTGTGGGCTTTACTCAGAAAATTGCTTTTGTGTAGTTGAGTTTCATTTGTCATTCAATGAGTAAAAGTTCATTGATCCTGATAGTATTTCAGCAGATGAAGCAGTTGTCCAGTTTGCAATTGGATCACACACTCTGTTTGCCTGCCTGAGTACTCAATTGTTGATAACCATAATTGTTTTCATGTCGTTATAAAGTCCAGTGTCCACGATCACTAACTTTGTAAATTAGCCGCCAACCAAAAAACTTACAAGGTAAATGGTGGTTTAAATGGCTTTCAGCACCAATTTATTTTAGGCTCCTGTCACTATGCAGCAATGCGATCACTGTACATGTACATACATGTACATGTGCACCTGTATCTGAAATAACAACACACCGACATAGTTGCATTGTCTTGAAGACCTTCAGAAACTACCTGACGGGAACATTCTGTATTGGAATTGTTGTGTTGGGGTTAATTGACAGGAAACAGGTTATCCATATTCAAGGCAGCGGGATGTCTCATTCCTATACTGTTCACATCTTCTCACCCTAAAATGTTTGGCTTATTTACTCAGTTATTATTTTTTTTTCACAATGTTTTAATGTAGTTGTTGACTGCAGTGAACCCGAGAGTGGATGTTGGCGGAACAATCGGATTGGCATTTCATCTTGTAACCCTTTTGAACATCCTCTTTGCCCATGGTATTGACCACCCATCCAAGGATATTTGTCGCCAGGCAATCTCGGCAGATCCAATGATGTCGGGTGTGCAAGTGTATCTCAATGTTGAGCGTCACCATGACATTATCTCAAGGGGAGGGGTGAAGGCAACAGGTCCTCGAAACAGAAGAGGAATCTGGATGCCTTACTCCAGGTTCTCTCAAACACAGTTGAGAGAAATTGAATCAGGTGAGGCAAATACTCCTATGTAAAATTGGGCAATTCAAAATATCGTGGTTCAAAGAATTCACAATGGTTTGACCTATCTCACTGTGCAAAATCAGTCAACCCGATAAGCAATTGAAAGGGGTTGACAAATTTCATGCATTGCAATGGTTCGATACGTTGCCAACTTTTGTAGGCCACAACTATGAAATGAGCGCGATGTGAAAGAAATTGAATGTCAAAATTATCTATCGGGATTTATGCCAACATGGCTCACTAACATTACCATCACACTTCTTTTTTTCTTTGGTCCCACCTTTCATATGAAAATGGAAATGAGAATCTGCTAATTCTTGAAATGTATAACATTACCACGATATCCCCTCAAACTTGTTTAAAGCATTGTTCTGTAGTAATTTTGAAAAATTTTTCTCAAGTCTTACGAGATAAGCCTGCTTCCCATTACCAAATTGACCTTGTACTGTATCCCTGCCATGAGCTTGCTGACACAAAAATACAGTGCAAACAGCATCCTTATGCAGCAACTTTGCATATCAAATAAATGGGTGAGTAAAGTTACAAACATAGGCACAAGCTGAAATAAATATAAGGGGGCCACTTCATGTACAGTCTCTGTGGTGTGTCCATTTGCTGCGGTTTAATACGACACCTAACTAATAACTATTTGTGGGACTGCAAGAAACACACTATCTTGGTGCCATACGTAGACCCGTGCATGCAAGTTTAGTGTATCTTACACATATTGTCACATAAAAAAAAAAAAATCTGGCACTTTCTTTTGGAGCATTATGTTTATTTTGTTTTTTAAATGTGTAAAGTAGCGACAGTTACCAAAAATTTGAAAAATGGGTTTCAAGATTACTATTTACCTGCATTCATATACAGTAAATCATTGTTTCCTATCAAACCGTAGAAAACAGATATCCAGATAAGATTAGGCTCTTATTACGATGCGCACAACCCCTGAAATATCACAGGGGCTAATAGGTCAATATGTACATTGCCAGTTAATTTTCTGTAGATGATGGCTGTGTGAGGTCGTTGTTTGTGCTGTAGTCCCTGTAAATTAGAAAATGCTCTTAACAACTCCATGCACAGGAACATGTAACAAGTGAAGAAGAGCTTGCACAGATTTACACTGATGAACCTGTTTCGTGAACGCTTTTAACTTACTTTTGTCCAATACATGTAATAGCTCACGACTTTGATGCTGCTCATTTCATGGACACTAATAATTTTTTTTCCTAGTATTCCAAATTCAAACGGGAACTGGTGCCCAAGGTAAGTATGAATTAACTGTGATTTCTCCATTTTTCTTTCAATGACATCTGTATTTTGTGTAATTTATCATATTTTGTTGCAATTCACCACTGGTTGTGTGATTGTTTTATTATTGAGGTTTGAGGAACAGTTGCATCGTCATTTAATTTGCAAATTCTTTTAATTTCTATCGCAGTTCATGTTATCGGGATGCAAGAGGATATCCAAAGGAACGCTGGTAAAAATATAATGAAAGTATTTCAGGTACAAGCGAATTTGTCAATGTTGATAAGTACTCTGTCTGAATCAATTCCACTGACATTGGGTTTAAAAATTCTGATCAATAAGAAAAGGTCAGTAAAAATTTAAAATGGTAAAATGGTAAGGCAGCCAAAGTCAAAGACTGTTGCGAGTTTGTTAATATTGAGGTGTATCAATGGAACTTTTTTTTTTCAGACAAAAAAGGAATTTAAAATGTATGCTTGACTTCGGGTTTCCAGTATTTGGTAAAGAAAAAGTAGCACTTTACAATCATAAAACAAAACAAAACAAAACAAAACAAAAAAAGGGAAATGAGATTTGCAAGCAAATCACAAGGCCATGTGATGTAGATGTTGAAGAAAACATTTCATCAATACACAGAAGAAAGGAGTGAAAGAGGAGAAGAAAACAATGCTGAAGATGTTATGGAGACAGATGTGGAAATGGTGGATGTCAGTGACCCTGTTGAGAAAAACTCTACGGAGCTCAATGAAACCAAAGAGCACAGAGGCAAGTTAGATACAAGGCAACCTGTGATATGGGGGTTGTATATTCACTGCTTTACTTATTCCAATGTTGACAAGACTGCAAAACACGGGGAAGTAATGTGTGGCAATACCCCAGAGAAATGGCACATGGGTCAGTGTTGAAATTGGATATACAGTTACATTCCTTCTGTGAAAATCATGGATTAGTCATGAGGATAAAGGGATGAGTACACCTCTCTTCCATCTCGGAATGAATTTTTAACAAAAACTGTACCGTTGTACTTGATCATGTAACAGAACCAGCTGGTCCTGTCACATTGGAGTCTGCACACAGGAAGCTCTTTGTGGATGAAACACAATCAAGTACAGCAAGGTAAGTAACAACTGCGTCATGTAATTTAATTGCATTGCGAAAACAATTTGTGGAATACAGCTGTAGTATTTGTATTTTAATTAGCTTGGGCACATCCCGCTGAAGGGGGGCCCTTCTGCTGCTGGGGGTTGTGCCCAAGCTAATACCCGCCCCGAGACAAAGCATGCCATACACTCTACCACACATTGTCTAACCCACTAGAATACCAAGCTCAAAATATTTTAACTACTCAACTATGGCCTCACTAATACTTATGTCAACTGAATCAAAGGAAGCAAATGCTTCGACTACTGGCTGTTAACACCACTATCTAAACAACTCAGCTGGGGAACAAATTGACTGAATGAAGGAAACCGCATTTGCTTGCAAGTACCAAATTATTCATACTGTGAAGATCCTTTGAGGTAGATGAGATCATATATTTGGTGTTACTTCAATTTGAATTTCATTTTCTTTCCATTCAGCACAAATTCAACCTTTGAAGAGCCATCCTCCGCCAGTACAAGCATTGCTCACAACTCGCAGAGGGATGCGGTAAGTGAAAGCGAAAATCACTAACTGAACAGAGGGGTCTGAGAATGTCCAAAAGGTTTTTTGGATGATGTTGATGATGGCTCTCCATGTGCCAAAATAGCAACCAATTTGTACTTAGTTTATGGCTTCTTGTCAAATATTCTGCAGTTTCCTCAATAGAGTGGAATCACATGGTCTTATAAAGGAACTGTTCTATTGTCTTTGGTAATTTATGACAGAAACATTATGCAAGGTTTAACTTGATCTAAGATAATAGCCTTGCATAATGGTTTTCACTTATTTTCATCAATTTTTAATCTTCTAAGGTTAATGAAGCCGAGGTTGCCAGAAACAAGAAAGGTGAGAATCAAATACACTGTATGATAAGCAATACATGTAGATGGAATGACTTGCTCTGCGTATAACGGAACAAATCATCTCATTCTAAAGACAACCAAAGGAATCAGTTGTCAGTGTTTGTTTCACAACTTTGACAAAGCAGGTAGGGGCCAAAAGTTTTTTTGTGCCCTTCATTGTGTGGGCGAGTGGTGGTACAAGCATTGCAGTCACTGTCTAGACATCTGAACTCAAAAATACACCGGATTGCATCCGGTACTGTATGGACTTGCACTTGTCCAATAAAGCCTTCCATCTCCATTGTAATAAATGTAGACTGATGTTCATCTAAATGTGGTTTGTTACTAATTACATTTTAACACCAAAGAAACATAGGATAACAGTTCATTTGAAAGGATAGACATAGTAGGAGTTGAAACCCTAAAATATCTGTGCGGTTTAGGTCGGTTTGGATTCATATCGTCCGTAGTTGGCTTCTCTCCAAATGGCAATTGGCTGAAATCTCAAAATAACATCATACCCATTTTCAAATGAGAATGGGGGCACAATATTAAGTTGTATAAACGATGTGGGCAAGTTGAAGGACACTCATTTAGGCTGAGGTCTCACCCATTACTAATCAGAAATGCATCTGGTATGAAGGAACATTTTAAGAAAATTACACAAGATGATGCTGTTCCATCATATTTACAGACCGTGCTTCAAGGAAGAGAAAATATGCAGAGACCACAACCACTCAAGCAGATGGCCCCTCTACCCTGACCTTAAATACTGCAGAATCACAGAGGACAACGGGGGATGAGGTAGGGCAGTAATGAATAACTTGTGATTGAACATTGGAAGGGACTGGTGAAAGTACTTGTGATGGACTTCAATACAACTATTACTGATTGACAGGGAGGGCATATTTCAGTCACTGAACTTAGCGGCATGTGTTATCATGTGAAAGTTCACAACTTTGTTTGCACCTGGTAACTGTTTCAGCTGTAATTCATTTTCACCAGAGGATTTTTTTAAAAAAATTACATCAGTGTATGCTGCAATCTCCCAAATACGTATTTTCCATTGTGGGGGCTGAAGTTGTAGTTGAACAAAATGGGTGGCAATTTTTCAAATTTAATTAATGTATTGAAAGTTTGAAAGAACAGTCTGTTTTACCTGATTTCATCATGAAAGTTGCATTTAATGTTAAATTATATTTTAAATGCAACTTTTCTAAGGATCACGATGGTGTTGGTCCGAACCTTGCAATCTTGTGTCCCTCAAAGTGTAGTTTACTCGATGCTAATTAGTCCGAAGGGGCACTGCATTACATATGGATGCACACTGCCACCAACATGAAATGGATGCCGTTTTGATCAGTAAGGAAGGTAGTTTATGAAGTCATATATATGCCTTCATTGGGAAGACTTAGATTGTCGGCCAATAGTGGTTTCACTACTCCAAAGTGACTTACGCAAATATGGCACACCTTTTTTTGACTTGCAGACCATCTTAAGTCACATGGGCAAAACTGGCTTGTTATGAAAATTTCTTTGTTCTTTGTTTCAAGGGTTTCTGCAGGACCTGCTTGAGGACGGCACCACAGAGAACCAAAAGTCGACAAAACAAGGTATTGGGGTTGCATTCATATGAAAGTGTGTTTTGAATAAATCGGTTAGGGGCAAAGGATACAAGGTTTATAGATAAAAGGCTTGATACTCCGAATGTAGCTCTTTTTTTGGATTTACTTTTTAAAGCGATTAAGTATTGGTGTGATGAGGGGTGCTGGTCAATCTCATCAAATTTACCCCCATAATAAACATCTGCATGTACCCAAAGGTACAATGACAAAATGACACTTTTTTGTCGAAATTAGACTAGTGTACTTTGATCATGGTGTGACCTGGTTTCTAAGGACATCGATGGAGTTTCTTATTACCACCCTCAGGGACTTGGGTATTTGCTTGTTTGTCCTGTCCACTTGTCATTTTGCCTTTGAGAAAGATTCTAAGAAAGATTTGAGAAACATCAGCCCCCCCCATATTTTGAGATTTGTAAAAAAAAACTTTCTCATAGCTTGTAAAATACGTGTATTTTAGGATTACGAAGAAGTGGATTCAAGTTGAGTGTTCTGTGACCTTTGTAGGGATCTTCTTTCTTTATAAATTGTTTGTTTTCCTCGAAAATCATATCAAGGACGTAGAATTTAAAAATCTCACTTCTTACATTGAATTACTTCAAGCCTCTGTGACATCAAATCGCATAGGCAGTCGTACCGCTTCGATATATTAACCCAACATCAGTGACGAATATCACATTGAGAGGTTTTATTGACAAACACCTTCATTAAGTCTGGTGACTTCAGATGATAATTTTTCCAAAAATTATCAACCGTTTTTTTTTGGTAATCATTTGGGAAATATTTATGCCACTAACAGGACAAGATAACAGAGAAAAAAGTATCCCTTTTTGAACTTCAATGTTTCAGAAAATAAAATGGATCTCCTGTGGCAACTGTTGTGGTTGGTTTCATCAAGAGTGCCTTGGAATGAATCTTTCAAACAAAGAAGCTGAAGACCTTGTATTTACATGCAGCAAGTGCTCTGATTGAAGGGTTCTTCATCAGCTCCATGGAAAAAGTTTCAATCAGGTTAAGTAGTATTCAAGTACGTAGTGACGGCTTCGACAGGTGCAATAAAATAGCATTGGATAAGGTTTGCATGACGGCATGCATATCCGTTTGCAGTATCAGCAGGTGATATCCAGCAGGTGATGCTGTGGATAATTTGGTCTGTATTTTTTTAACAATAAAAACATCAACTGTTCATCATACACATAGCCCAGAGAAGTATTGTGGCCCTGGAGGCCATTAACACATTTTGAAGCAATGTTTGGAACTGGAACTATGAACCATGAAATTTTGTTAAGAATGTTGATAGCAAGATTTGTGTCAGGAGAGCAAGTCGTGAATCATCCCTTGAATATTAACAGCAGTAATCATGACCAGAAAGCAAATCGTACATTAGGTTTTGAAAAACAGTATCAATATTCAAGATCAAAGAGCGTGTTGAAGATTTGGTCGTAAATATTGAGATCAATATGCACGATTTGCGATTTCCTCCATGGGTGAGGTCACCCATAGAGATGGGACACCTCAGCTAGCTTAACACACTTTGTGCATTCAAAGTGAATATCCAAGAACACACAAAAAAATTCAAGTTACTTGTGGCATATAATTAAGTACTAGGGATACACCTTTTGAAATGTAATTTTAAGTGCTGGATCTATTACCGTTCTCCGTTTGTGTCATTAGGAGTTGTCAGGTTAAGGTGGTTACATATGGCATTATTTTGTGTGTCATCTTCAAATGCATCATTAATCAAATATCTGACATGATAACACTGTGCTCAGGTGATTGCATCTGCTCGTAACAAGGGTTTTTAATTACTGTTAGCTTTGTAATAGCGCATTGCATGAAATCTTTAAGCTTTCTATTAACAGTTTGGTGATGTTTCCTGTTAAAACTGAACAAATCATCTGTGGAAAGGAATGCTTACTTTGGGCATGTTGTGTTAACTTTCCATTGACACATGTAGCTTTCAAAAGTTTCTGTATAAGAACATTCAATTTAATCTTAATTGTGCTAAAATAAAACTCTCAGGGCCTTGGAAAATACCATGAAACTTAAGAAAGTGCATTATTAATACAGTCATAAGGGTAAAATTTCATATATTTAATGATTACAAAGACAGAAGAAAGTGTTTTAACCTGTGTTTCTAAGGCAAACCTGTTGTAGAGGTAATTACATACTAACGTTTGCAAGACTGCAAGATTTTTTATTTAACGTCTTTTACCCGTAAAACAAGTTATTGAAGTTTTTGACAGGACAATCTAGGAAATTTATTTCAGTCTGTGAGGGGTGAGTTCCCTAAAACATGCTTTTTAATTAAATTACACTCGTTTCTTTCCAATAATGTATTGAAGTAAATGCCTAATTTAAAGTAGACTTGTGAGATTTTGATTCTGTGCCTGAGGTTTTATTGGCTTGTCAACACCTCAATCAATCTGCATTTGTCAATCACATAAAAGAAAATGAAAAAAAAAAACTCTCTGTAAATCTTACAGGTATATTTCAGCTGAGTATGTTAGTATGCAATGTATTGGAGACTGAGTAAATGCTGTTAGAAAGAGTATCGCACTGTTTACATTAAAATTCAAAAGGTAGATACACAGTGTGTTGTGCACTGGAACACTTTTACGGTATATGTGGCATACGTGTAAGATCTGCCAGTACACGTACATTTGTAAATCCCTTTTCACAAAGAGTGGTAGTGTTAAAGTAATCTTCATCTCTTTGATCGGACTGTCAGTATAAAAACATTTGGCCAGTGGATCAAAACCACTAATAAACCACATTTCATTTTGAAATGCAATCTTTAATGCTGTCCAAGAGAAGTGTAATGGTTCCAAAGCAGGGATCAGATTTATGGAAAAAATGCTCAGACTGGATTGAGGAATTGTAGCTGATATGACCATTCACTTCTGTAGCCAACCGCAAACTGTGAATTCTCTTTCATTTGTACCATTTCATGACTTGTTACAAGATTATGCTTTATACAAATTAATGAGTCATTTGGTTGATTCTAATTTAACACAGACTGTAACAAATGGGAGAAATGCCAATGGCTGCATTACTTCTAAATCGATCACGTCATGTAGAGAAACAGTAACTAGTGATTTGTTTTTTGATAAACTTAAGGGTGGTCCATTTGTAAGTTGTTTTCTATAACACATTACTTCACTGTGACGTATGACATGAATTGCCAATTTCAATAAAAAACATCTTGTTATTTAATCAAAAGACCTTCCAAAAATGTAAGACTTTGCACTTTTAGATGTACACGGAGTAGACCATTACTGTATTGTCCTGTGAGATTGTGACATGAAAGTTTCCACGTGAAATGTTAGCCTAGCAGGTCATTTGACCATGGAGGCAGGACACAAAAGGAGTTGAAACTCTGACACTTCTAGGTGAATTTTAATAAATGCAATTATACAGAAAATTTTGGTCTCCTGTTAAAAAGACATGATAACGTGTACCTAGTTCACACCTAATTTACACATGTAGCTCCCATGCATATATCTTTGATCTACATCCACGTTGCTCTCTCAAGCATGATAACAATGGGCTAATCAGGCAATTCACAATTTTATTCGTTGTGGAAACTGTGATTGCAAAAAGTCAGTCTGGCAGTGAAAACTGTAGCCCCTGGATTACTCCCAGAGTGGTAGTTCACGGGTACGGTATTGACAAACAGGAATATTCTTCAGGGAAATGACAAAGTGATTTTCCCTCCGTGCGTGGAACCGCAACTGACCCATGACAAATATGCAGGCTGGTTATGCATTCAAAAGAATTGGCCCTTCATTAATTCAGATACTTGATGCCATCATGTAATGCTATAATGACGTCTGTTCACTTACAGAAACAAGTTACAGTGTTCAGTTTAATCTGTATAAAAAATTCAAGTTTTTGAGCATGACAAATCCTTAAAATACAAACTTGCACTCTGAATTCAAGTTTTAGAGCCAAATAGTCCCGTAATTAGCATTAAAAAAGTTTCGGTCAGTGGTGTAGCACTTTTTTGCTNTGTAACTTTATGAACATTTCTAATAATTAGAAACTAGAATGGGAGTTTTGGAACAAATTTTGCAATCTGTTGTAAGTTAGTCTCGATTTCGACTCCCGGCGTCAAACTTCGAAGGTTCAGACACCGAACATGTTTCACCCCAATTCAACTGTTGGAAAATTAACGACTTCAACCAGTGACAGTGCGCTGGCGGCAGAATTACTTGACCGGACCATGACTGGACCCCTTGAACCATATGGAAACGTCCTTATAGCAACATGCCGATCCTCCGTGTTGAGCCTTCTCGGTTTGAAGCCTTCCACAAAGTTAACAAACGATCACATTGAAACTCTTGTATGTGCTTTGTCAGATGATGGGATAGACCGAATAAAGCACTACAGAATCATGAAAAGAAATGCTAGATAAATATGAAATTTAGCCTCAGAGTGGTTGCTAAGATGATAAATTATTTCCGTTTTCAATCAATCACTAGTCTTTTTTTCCATTAAATTTCTCAGTTTCAGAAGTTATCCCAGAACAGTGAAACACTGCATACGACATGCCAGAATCCTAACTTCACAATACGATCATTTTCTATGAGTTATTGTTCGACTTCCATGAGTTACATTTGACACTTGTGCACATTGCACTGCAGCTGAGCGCGATCTACAAGCGTTTTAAATGCACAGAACCGATCCAAAGCCACCTGCATGGCCACTGTGTATGGTAAACTGCGCCCTACACGCGTACCGCGGCTAATGACGTGTATATGAATTATGCATGTCATGTACAAGTACATGGAAATTTTCGACTGTTCATGCGTGTATAGTACATGTAAAAGTGGGGAAATATTCCGTGAATTTCGACATCTTCCTGGCAATTTTCCAATGACTGATAGACCTCTGTTTCAGTAATTAACTTCATGTTAACTTACTGTACTTTTGTATTTGTCTTTCGTTCCTGCTGAGTCACTGAATTCTTACGCTCACAAGGCTGGAACTTCTAAGATTATAATTATGTGGGATGAATGGAATCGGTGCTGAGTTCAAGTAGGTCGACTGATATGCATACGCGTCCGATAGGGAAGAGAAAAAGCGCAAAACCGTCAGCAAATCTAAAACCATCACACCTTCCTCTACCACAGCCCACTTTTGAAAACTTCAGGAAAACTTCGAAAGTTTGTTTCGAGCCTTCAAAAATCGCATCCGACGTAATCGCATCAATTAAACTACCGCTTAAGAAAAGAGCTTTTCACAAATATTACTAGTTTTGACCACTCTGGTAGGTCTACTATTTTCACAAAACACGTTAGGAAAAGGCCTTATCTTACATACCATTAAAATATTTTGCTAATAAGCTAATCGAACGCACCCATTGTAAACGATGAGTGCGTTCGATTAGCTTCCCTGAACACACCAGTGTTACACGCAAGGGAATCCTCGAAATGAGGCTAATCAAACGCTGCAGTGTATTCGCAAAGGCATTCTGGGAAAAAGTTCAAGTCCCCGCCACGTTCCATCATGTCCATGACCATGCTAGCGCTCGGACAGTCCGTCCGTGACGACATTACACTCAGGCAGCCTCCAGAGACCGCTCGCCAGCTAGGGTCGTGGTGGCTGACACCAGGGCAGGCACAAAGATCACATAATGGCTAAGCGAACGCTCAGTGAAAGTTTGACTTCCACGCGTAAGCTAATCGAACGCACCCATAGTTTACAATGGATCTTCGTGCCTGCCCTGGTGTCAGCCACAATCACCCCGGCTGGTGAGCGGGTCTCTGGAGGCTGCCAGAGTGTAATGACGTCACGGGACTGTTCGTGCATGGACGTACATGATGGAATGTGGCGGGGACTTGACCTTTTTCCCAGAATGCCTTGGCGAATACACTACAGCGTTCGATTACTCTCATTTCGAGGCTTCCCTTGAGTGCAACACTGCTATATTAAGGGAAGCTAATTGAACGCACCCTATGATCAATGCAGGTAACTCTATGCGCAGTGCATGTGCAGTGGGCGTGGTTCAAACTGAAGTGAGTTCACACTCAAGAACCAGATAATTATTAATTTGATTTGCTTGCCATCACTGGACCAAAACAACTAAAACATGCATGACTGGAACTAAAAATAAACCCATATTCACTGTGGTGAGTAATAAGGTCGGGTATCGCCCATGATTGACTATAATTTATGAGGTAACACGGTTTCAAGGAAGCTCCATCAGGTTTGGGAGTTATTTTATTTTCTCGATATACCTGTACTTCACACATTACAATATTGTGGCGGAGTCCTCCCCTAGACTCACCAACGTTGTCGTT